TCAGATTCTCCCAACTTCATCTTCTATTTTTTGTATTTTTTCTTCAATGTATCTAAACGGTTCTGACACTGAGTGTCCGTTCTCTCAAATTTTGACTCCTGGGAAACCTTTTTAGAAACTTCTTGCCACTCTTCAGACCGAAGGCTCTTCCTCCCATGTTTGAGAAACCTATCACCCCAAGCATCCAGTAAGACAACGGTCTCGCTCTCAGTCCAATCTGTATGCGGATTCCGTCCACCATATGATGGCTTAGGCACTGCAGGAGTTGCAGATGATGGTGGTGGTACTCGAGGTGCAAACTCGTAACTTGATAACAAGCTTTTCAATTTTCTCTTTTTCGGGTGCCTCTGTAAATTACCATAATCATCCTCATCCTCATCCTCATCCTCGTCCTCATCACCATCATCATCAACATAATCATCGTTACCTATCCTCTGAACACTACTACATCCACCATCATCCTCATCATCATCTTCATATTCCATATCTTCGTCATTAACATCATTATCATCGTCCTCAACATACTCATTGCCAACATTCCGAGCATAAGTGCCATTGTGAACAGGAAACTCAGGATTAGTTATGCCATAACGATTTGGCAGGTACCTAGCATCCTCCTGAGTATCATCCATCAGGACCCACGACCAACAAAACCACCGTACCACACAGTGTTAATGCCCAATCTCTAAATTTATTTCCAAACTTAGTTATGCAAAGAGCGCAGTTCTTCGATTATTTCCCCAAATTATACAGCATTCTCCACAAACACAGATAAAATTAAGTGATGTCTTCTACCTGGAACACCTATATACCCACAAAAGTAAGATCATCATTACTTACAGCACAACGCCAAAATCATTGTCAAAACGGATTTTATTTTAGTTCCAAATTCAGTTTCTAACCTAAAACAGCGAAGTAGAAATTCAGTTTCTTAAAAATACATGAATTATAAAGTTCATTTCCAAAAAAGGAAGGGTAAAAAATAAAGTCAGGTGCCAAGAAATTATAAACCCTTTAAATCATACCTCAAATAACTCACTCATCACCCTGAGATGCCTTACGATTCAAGCTTTCTGAAAAATAAAAAATCGAAGGCTAAAAAAAAAAAAAATTCAACAATCCGAAACATCAAATTTCGAGAGTAGGATCGGAATTTTCAGAGAAATATCATAATCTTTGTTTTATATAGAGAAAATAAAGCGCTTTTTATGAAGAAGAAGAGGTTGTGAGTGTGCGCAAAAAATGCGCATCTTAGTTCAGCTGTAGAGCGAACGTAAAGTGGCAATTGCTAAAATGCGCAGGAGTTGCGTTTTGCTCATTTTCTTGCGTCATCTCGCTATCTCTGGGCCCATAGGTAGATGTTATTGGGCCTGAATATTCACATCGGCCCAGACAAAGCTACTCGTGCAGTTCTTGCATTAGATTACTTTTTGGCTCATTTTCGTTTAAAAGTGTTAATTTACGAATGATCACTGAACTTGCACAAATATCACTTTGGCCATTGAAATTTAAATTGTTTAATTATCAACCAAAAATTAAAAAGTATTTCATTTAAATCACTATCTTAATTAATGATAATTCATGCAAAATTTAAAATATTTGCTTATGTGGCGTTATGTCACTGAAGAAAGTTGCTAAAATTTGGATGGATAATAAAGTATGGTTCAACTGAAACACTTTTTTAAGTTCAATGATGATAATGAAATAATTTAAATTTTTGTGGTCAAATTGAAATTTATTGTAAAGTTCAATGGTCATTCATAAAATTGTTCCGGTTAAAATTTGGTTTAAAACTAAAACTATTCTAATCTTATTTATAAAATGAATATAACGGTTAATTACACTGCTTGCCAGCGAATTTTACCCTTAGGCCGCGTTTGATAGGTCACATTTTTCGGGGAAGTAGGAAAATATTTTCCACTTTCCACTTTTTTGACTGTTTGATAGGCGAAATTTTCC